TATATGAAGCAGTTTATCTATTTGATCTAGTCTTAGGTATTCTTACATCTATCACATTCAATACCGTTAGGCTTAAGTATACAATGTTATATGAAGCAGTTTATCTATTTGATCTAGTCTTAGGTATTCTTACATCTATCACATTCAATACCGTTAGGCTTAAGTATACAATGTTATATAAAGCAGTTTATCTATTTGATCTAGTCTTAGGTATTCTTAAATCTATCACATTCAATACCGTTAGGCTTAAGTATATGATGTTATATAAAGCAGTTTATCTATTTGATCTAGTCTTAGGTATTCTTAAATCTATCACATTCAATACCGTTAGGCTTAAGTATATGATGTTATATAAAGCAGTTTATCTATTTGATCTAATCTTAGGTATTCTTACATCTATCACATTCAATACCGTTAGGCTTAAACATACGATGTTAGATGATGCAGTAAATCTATCTGATCTAGTTTCTACCATTACTAAATTCATCTTAGTTTTTTTACCTGCACTAATTGAAAAAACTGAGCTGCTTTAGCAATCGGATCGGTGACAGTGGTACAGGCAGCACCGAATAGAACAACCACTTTGTGAGATTTTCTTGAGAGCATATCAAAAAAGTTTTTCATTCCTACTGCTGGATCACACTGAAAAACACAAAACAAAACAGAAAATAAGTTAACAGTAATGTGTGAATCAATATTAGGCTATTGCTAGAAAGTCTAGCAAGTTTCAATCTTTAAAGATAAAACGTCTCAGCTAATAAGACCGCTTTCTTCGAGCTTCGCATCAGGAGAAACACATACACTGTTTCCTTAATTTCTAACCTTTTAGTAATTCAGAGATATCCAAGGGTTAAACTGGGGTTGAACTATCCAAAATGGCGGTCGTCTTTTAAGGATTCAAGCCATCAGCGTTCCGAGTCTTCTGATTGCAAGAAAAAGTCAATTACAAACTGCACTTCATCCTTTCTTTCCCCTTTTGGGATTCACTTTGTAGCAGCAGCTTGGATTCTATCTCTTTCAAAATACCAATATAGCTACTGCTAATATATTGTAATGGTTCTTTTTTACATAATCCCCTTAATTTGTCCTTTAAGGTTTGCAATAAGAGTTTTCTAAAAATAATATTTCAGAGCTATCCCTAGCAGGGTATGACCCAGGGATTAGTATGCTGGACTGTGAATCCGAAATCCCAGGGCTCGCGTACTTTGCCACAAAATCGTGCTCCGCACTTTGGAGCCGTTCATGCTTCAAAAGGCTGGTGTTTCGATTCCACTTTTGGATTAAAGTTCCCCCAAGAATTGGCGGTGGGTGCTGCTGATTAACTGTCTTCCTCCTAGTCTATTAGTGCGAAATTAAAGACGACTAACACCGATAGCCCTTTGTTTAACGTTGCACTAATATCAAAAACATGCAGCAGGTCTGATGTAGAGGACGACGTTTCGAAAGTCTTCCCGAAGACCAAAACAGAAGTCTCTCGAAACGTCGTCTTCTACATTGTGTTTTTCATTGCCGTCCATTTCAGTCTACTCATTATGAATACTCTGCCCAAACAATCTATCAAATAATGCAGCGGATCTATTCTTGTTCATCACAAGTCACAGCCGAGAAGGCCTTTCGTTCAATACCAGAAAAGGTATAAACCTGAAATTATATTTTTACGTACCTCTGATATCCACAATGGACCAATTACAAGAACTCCAGTTGTTTCTTCATCCTTTGACATTTACCATCGTAACATTACATTTTTCGTGACGTCATATCAAATAGTATTCTAGACGGACTTGAATGGTTCTGGTAACGTACGAAAGGCTTTCTGGGCAGTGACTGTGCCAGGCAAAAGATAAACATGAAATGGTATTTTTACACATCTTTGGTTTGAAATCTGTTTAAAAAAACCTAACATATTTCCGGTCTAGCATGATATTCATCAAGAATATTAGGCCTACTGATCTCATTACTTCGCAACTTTCGGCGTTTTACGCGGGGGAGAAAGATGTTCGCCCCTATTTTTCCAATGTGTTCAGAGAACAAAGATGTTCACCCCTATCTTTCCAATATGTTCAGAGAACAAAGATGTTCGCCCCTATCTTTCCAAATTGTTCAGAGAACAAAGACGTTCGCCCCTATCTTTCCAATGTGTTCTGGAACAAAGATGTTCGCCCCTATCTTTCCAATGTGTTCAGAGAACAAAGATGTTCGCCCCTATCTTTCCAATGTGTTCAGAGAACAAAGACGTTCACCCCTATCTTTCCAATGTGTTCAGAGAACAAAGATGTTCGCCCCTATCTTTCCAATGTGTTCAGAGAACAAAGATGTTCACCCCTATCTTTCCAATGTGTTCAGAGAACAAGGATGTTCGCCCTATCTTTCCAATGTGTTCAGATATCTAGAGTCAGCTCAGCATTTTCCTGTAATAATATTAAGTTCACTTAATCACACGAAAATAAAGTGTGTTATGTAATTAGATTAGGCGCTTACATATCCTAAAGAAAAAATAAAACGTTATTCTTATCAAATATGTCCAGAAAACCCCACCCTACACTTCGAAAAACAACAACTTAGTAACATTAATTTCAATTTCCTAACTGTATTGTTATATAGTATAAGATGATATGCTATCTGAAGAGTTAGGAAAATGTAAATTGATTTTTTTGTATTTTTATTGCAAAGTTACGTAATAGGCTATCTGCGCTTTGTCCACTATGTGGAATAAAACCCCAAACTTTAGAATTTTACCGCTCATTCACCGGGAGTAAATATAAATTGCAAACTTGTGAAATGTAAAAGAGAGCCTTCCCCCCAAGTGGCTCAGTGGTAAATATGGGGCTTATAACGCTAAGAATCGGATTTCGATACACATGGTGGGCACAACACAGACAGCCAATTTGTGCTTTACTAGAAACAAATATAAAAGAGTAGAACGTCCTCATATGATTGGTTACTAATTTAACAATATCTGATAAAAGGTGAAACTGTCTCATCACTAGGTGAACTAAAAATCAGTTAATGTTTACCACTTACCATGTAGGTGAACTAAGAATCAGTTAATGTTTATCACTTACCATGTAGGTGAACTAAGAACCAGTTAATGTTTATAAACCAGTTACCATGTAGGTGAACTAAGAATCAGTTCATGTTTATCACTTACCATGTAGGTGAACTAAGAACCAGTTAAGGTTTATCAGTTACCATGTAGATGAACTAAGAACCAGTTAGAGTTTATCAGTTACCATGTAGGTGAACTAAGAACCAGTTA